AATTTCATTTATTAGCCGAAAAGGGCGGTAACCTAGAAAGGCTGTTAGTTTCGAAGCGGTATTTTGCGCTGTTTTACTATAAATGTCCGTGACTCCTTCCAAATTGTTGTTACCAAATATTATAGCCCTATATTATATGAACAAATAATGAAGAATCTGCATGAATACATGTATGTTTCTCGCACTGTGACAAAAACGACAGCCATCAAATTTTGAATTATGTAATCCTCTCCCCCCCCCCGAACAAGGGCATCTGGACGGCTGTATTTCGAATTTGTTTTAATATATTTCATATTTTGTAAAAAATGTAAAGAAATTTTGATTAACAAACTCAACGACTTCAGAGCAAGCACTGTTCGGAAAATAACAGTTTTATCTCCAGTGCGAAAATTCTAAAGATATGCTGTTTTCAAATGTATGTGTTTTACGGGCGAAGGATTTTATTTTACCTTTTTTATTTCCCTTTCAATACATTCAGAAAATTTTATGCTCCGAATTTTATAAATTACAAAAATAAATATTCCACTTTAATGTGAATAAGTTAATGATGATATAATCAAATAAATGATTGTTTTGTAATGTTATTATATGATTTTGAAAATCACTGCCAGAAAATGGTCATTAAATTTAAATATATATATATATCAGATTTTTGTTTAATTTTACCTTATTCTATTTCAAACGCATCACATGTACTATCAATCTTATTTAATTTTACTTTATTAGTCCGCAAAATTAAGTTCATAAATTTTGTGTTTTAGAGTTTTTACTGTTTTACCAAAGTAAAGATGTTTGTACAAGAATTAGGCATGAAAAAAAAATGCGCAAAAGTGCAGTAAAAAGTGCTTTAAATGAGATATATTAAATCTTATTTGGAAAAACTGTGGCTTTCATAATCCCTCATCACTTATACATGTATCACATTTAATAATTAAAAAGAGTTATGTGATACAAACGCCATAGGTTTCAGTGTTAAAGTAAACCAGATCGTCGCTACTCTTTCTTGCCGACATGTCGGTGACGCTCGCCCCGCCTACTTGTTTAGTCTATATCTTATAAAGCCCATGGAGACTACATTGTGACGTCACAAGCTTAGTCCCACCCATTTATGGACGTCACACAGCTCCGCCTACTAAACTTCGTTAATGCAACCTATTCTGTGCTTTTACCAGATCTATATTTGTATTAAAATCTTCTTTAAAAAATATTATTTTATAAGATGTGCAATAAAATAAGAGTATGAATGTTCTCTCTATTTTACTTCCATGTACAAAGTAAAGGAAGTTTTGTAATCGCGAAAATTTTCGGGTATCATATTTCAACAAAAATGGCTATTTTGACTGCTATCGAATGCAATTTAAGGATATTTTTGTGTGACATCTGTATTTAAGGCCAGAATAAAGAACTTTTTTCCCCAAAATGGGTTTCAAAGAGGATTTAAAATGAATTCAGAAGAGATTTTTTTCGTGACGTCTGTGTGTATGTACCTATGTACATACTATCTCACATAACTCAAAAACTATTAGCTTCAGAACGCTGAAATTTCATATATAGGACTTTTTTTAATTTGTGATTAATCGTGTTTATTTTTTAATTTAATTGCCAGATGAGCGGGATGCAGCCAAAGCAATATTTATATGTTCTGTGTACTGAAAAATTGAAAATAAAAGGAACTATTAACTTAATGTGCTGTACACAAAGTTGCTAGCTCCAGTGAAAGCTGTTCTGAATTTCTGAGTACACTTGAAAAGAAAGTGCATAAAAACATTTCAATATGAAGGAAATCAGTTCATTCTTTCCAAGCAAAAATCAATTCATAAGTAATATTTTTGTTGCCAAACTAGCAAACAGAAACTTTTGGCATGTATGATGTCATGATTTAAATTTAATATAATGTAACAACTTTTTCTCAGTATCAATAAAAGAACCTGGCAATAACATATTGTGTCAGTTATTCAAATCTGAAACAAAAATGTTGCCAATAGCAGCTATTTATTTAAAATGCTGACATTAACGAAACATTTTCGACATACAAGGATGTCACATGCTTTCTTCAACGTCAGAATATGACTCTATATAATAATAATATGTTTAATGTTTGGCAATGCTATTTTTATATCATATTTTGTGAAACTTACAAATTTTTTATTAGCAAACATTAGAATTCAAAAGCGAGCAATGGCAACACTTTTTGAATTAAAGCATTTTTATGTCCAAGGCGCGAGATTGTTGCAACAGGAAAAAATTAGTGCGAAAATTAGCATTTTCAGAGTTTTTAATGAATATCTCAGCTAATTAAGTCTTACAAAGATAAAATGTCTTCTCACAAATTTTTCACATCCGAGGGTACCTTTTTTTGAAGCTCAACTTCTCACTGTTCTGGAGGATATGATGTTACAAACAAGTAAGCAAACAGACGAGCGCAGATTTTAATAGTAAAAAATTATACTTTAAATAAACTGATAAAAATAAGGTTGTATAATAGCAGCAGTACAGTAGTAGCATTAAATTTCTACAGTGAAAATACACATATCACATCTTAAATGAAAATTATAATTATGTGTTTTTTTTTTTTTTTTTTTTTTAATACCTGCTTGAAAAACATATAAACGATGCTTTACTGGGCTCTAGTATAGAATTAGGTGCCCCTTCGATTAGCGACATTTTATTTTAAAAATTTTTGCTATGAAACCTCACTTCTGGTTACCGTGATAGTTTTAACTTTGTTTTACATCGATGTTTACATGGACACAGAGTTTGTACAATTCTTTGACTTCTCATTTTGCTTTTGTGTAGCGGCCATCTTCAAATTGTGCCTTCCTAGCTCCGATCTTGGCGTCAAAAAAGAATCGCCAAAAAACTAGGGGCACCCAATTGTAAACTTTTTCCCTTTACTGTATTGTAGGATTCTTCACTGTGTAATTCTAAGTTACAGTTGAAAGTGAAGAATCTTAAGAACTAGTAAGTGAATAATCACTTGAGTTCGTGTGCAGGAAACAATAAGTAAGAAGGGTGAAATAACCCTTTATTATTCCAACTAAAGTTTAACAAACTCCGTCTTGAAGTTGTACAGTAAAGTCGACACTTGGGCTTGAACTTACCTAAGAATTAAACTACATTAATCTTAACTAAAGAGATTAGCCGAAGCTATCAAAATTCTAACAGAGTTGGCCCCTTAACGCTAATTGACTGCAAAGCTATCAAGGGCCTAAAGGGCCGAGCGTAATACAGTCAAGAGTCTTTAATCCGGAACTCAAAGCTACAAACTTTCTGCACATGCACATATGCATCTATGCATGCGCATAATACGTTTACGCATGCGCGTTTAATGTATAACGGACGTTATAAGCTAAGCTAAAATTATCTAATTATCTATTTCAGTTAATGTTGCAGATTGCGTTGTTCTTTAATCTTCTAATTGGATCCGGCGTATTTTTTGCAGACTGTTAGAGCAATTTTATAAAAGTAAGCTTGAACTTTCGATTATGTCAAAAAGAATTTCTGATTCTGGAGCTGCCAAAGGATCTACAAATCGAAAGCATGTTTCGATGTCCATCAAACAAAAAGTGGAATTGCTGCAAAAAATGGATAAAAGCATATCCTTTGATTCTCTAATCATTCCAAAATATGTTTATCAATTTCGCGCTACTCTGCCGGGGGAGGGGAACGATGCAGCACTCAATGAACTGGAAGTTGATCTGTCAGCACTATTCTCATCTTCATGGCAGATGTTTTTATTTTATTCGGCTTATAATTTCTTATTAAATGTAGTATTTCATCTCGATGTACTCCACCTTTGATATAATTTAAACCAAATTCCTCGTCATTATAAATATCACGAATACACATCAAATAGTTTTCTGGTTGCAATTTTCTAATTTTGACTATGCGTAATGTATGCTTTACACATGGGCGCATTGAAAGAAATGTTTAATAAAGTAAACAAATAAATATAAAGCTCTTTTTTTTTTGGGTGTGTGTGTAAATTTTGATATCCTTTAGATCATAATTGCTCTTTATTTCATAAATTACAGTTTTATATTTTTAATTTTATAATTTCTGCATGCCATCTTACCAGATTTAAACTCATGATCGATAATCCGGAATCACCGAAGTCCCGAGGAGTCCGGATTAAAGGCTTTTGACTGTAATAGTTTATGAGAGAGTAGCCGAAAAAGGTGGACGCGTGCAGCCAGAATATCTGGTATCTCTCTGACTAAGACAGTAGAACTTTACGGTTAAATACTGCTCTTCCTCATTAGTATTCAGACGGGATTCGAAAACTACGCTCTGGTCGGAAGTGGTAAGTTGAAATTAAGAATCGATAGGAAAGGAAGTTTAACTTAAAATTTAACTGTTAATAAAATTAACATAATCCTTATAGTATTTTTAACTTTTTTCTGTTAGCTGCAGAATTCACTGTATCAATTAGATTGCTTTATCCATTTGCATGTTAATCTGCTTTGATTTAAACAGAATGTATTTTTTAATTTTGCCTTTATTTTAATGCATAATTATATAAATATATAAAACTTATATCATACTGCATCCTTTCTCCAGCATCAAAATAGAGATGAGCTGTCTGATGTGCACATAAAAAAAAAAAAAAAAAGAAAAGAAAAATTAGCCACATGATTAAGGAAAAGTCCCAGGCAGAATTATTTTAATTAGTTAAATAATAAATACTGAATAAAAACTGTTTGCTGTTGGGGAGGGATGAGAAGTATACCTTGGTTCTTTAAAATCAGTTACACTTATAAAGCATGTGGGAAATAAAATATATCTGGAATTATCTATCTTTGTCACTTCATTACTAAATACTTTTCCAGTCAGTGACTAAATTCTGTGCGTAATTTAGAATTGATTAACAGTGTTTAAATGTTTAAAGTTTACTTGAAATGTAAATGTTAATATTCAAAAATGAAAGGAAAGATTCGCTTTGTTTCTAAGTTATTTTTATTTTATATGCATAGTAAAATTATGTCACTTTTTTATCTTAGGCTCCCATCACATTGTTGACTCTAATGAAATAGCATTTATATCTGCTGCACAAGGTGCAGTACAACAAGGTGAGGCATTAAAATTTATATTGCTGTAATGTTTACTGATTGCTAGAGATTGAGTTTTAAAATATTTTTCTTATGTATTGAAATGGATAACCACAAGATATTATTTTGTTCATAATTTATCAGTTATTTACTTACCCAGTTAATGTATATTATATATTTTATACTTCTTTTTGAATTTTATTATATTTAATTTTTCAGTATTTGATTTTGGGCAGTGGCACGTATTAGAACCTATAATGTTAGTAGAAGTAATTGCTCCATCAGAGTACCAAGGCACTATTATAACGCAGCTTAATAAAAGATCAGGAGTTATATTATCTATGGATACTGTAGATAGTTGGGCAATTGTCAATGCTGAGGTATGTACACTTTTTCTTAAATCTCTCAACATTTGTCCAAGTATTTCTTTAAGGATAAAATTATTATTAAATTTATTTATTTGGTGCTGCAGTAGATACATTTTCTGATGATAATCAGAATGTTGAAGAAGTTAATATAATTAGCATATGGACATATTCTAAATTGTTATTTTTTATTGTACAATAATTAAGATTTTTTTATTACGACATTAAACCGTATGATTCAGTATTCCTTAAATTCTTATTACAGATGTTATTTACTTTATCTGTAGAAAGTATTTGTAAACATTGCTGTTTAAGGTAAGATCTTCAATGAAGTGCACATGTAGAGTACAATGCGTACTGTTGTCTTTCTACCGTTTTGTGGATTTGGAGTGATTGATGATAACATTTGATGAAGAATCAAAACACTATTTAGCCAGGACTACTCAGGACAGTTTTAAAGTCACGTTTACAGTCATAGAAAAACTACAACAAACACGCTGAAACAATCAGCAACACAGCCTTCAGGCTATCAGGCTATAATGATGAAGACAGCTTCATGGCAAAGCACTAGAGTATAGCTCCCGACTTGGTTTGGTCATTCTCGGGACTTATCATACTCTTGAGACTATCCACGCTACAACTCACGATACACTCAACAGCCTTAACAATGCACACTCTCCATGCACCAACTCGTGATACGCTGACGAGACACTGCTATTCGACATATAGGCAGGATTTGTATAGTTTTTCGGCCTCTCTTCAAGAACACTCTGGGCCAAAGCAGTAAGAATTTGTTCTACAATTTCTTCCATCCGTCTATGGCATATTGTCGCGTAGATGAAGGGAGGCAAGTACTATAGTCTGAACTCAAGACTTTTTATTAACTTGAACTGAATGAAGAGCTACTTATATACAGTTGGTGATGTTCTGGAAGAATAAGAAGGAAATTTACATAAATAAGATAACATTAGCAAGAAGGAAATTTACATGAAAAACACATTAGCAACCAGGCATCTCGCCGTTGATGGGTTCCGAATTACCGGGACTTTCGTTGGGGGTTTCAAGTCCTGCGTACTTCTCCGCGGTTTCAAGTTCTGCTTCTTTTCCGCAAAGCTATGAGGAGCTTGGTTGAAAAGAGCAATTTTCGCTACATTTCCCCCTTCTTAGGAAGAAGCAGCATCCCGCTGTGATCTGGTCTGGCTTCTTGTAACAGGTCTTCTGGAAATATTGGGCTTTCTTTCATCATCTAGTTGTACTTTTGAATCAAGATAGGGCTTCAATTTCAATACGTGAACAATGTCTTTTGAATTCTGTCGTTTCTTATTTTGTTCCATACTTTCTACTTCGTACGTCACGTCGGAGAGCTGCCATGTTATTTCGATACGGTCCAAAATAGCGTCTTAGGAGCTTTTCAGATAACCCAACCATTCGTACTGAAGTGAAGACCCAGACAAAGTCTCCAATGTTGTAGCTGACAGGTCGATGTCTCTCGTAGTATCGGTGCTTGTCTGTGGTTTGCACCTTAAGAATATGGAATTTTGCAAGCTGTGTAGCTTCTTCAGCTCTAGTGATCAGATACAGCACATAACTATCTTTGAAATCTTGGATACTGTATGGGAAAATTACGTCAAGAGGAGTCTGGATATCTCTGCTATAAATGAGAAAGAATGGGCTGAATCCTGTTGTGTCTTGTTTGGCTGAATTATAGGCATAGGTTACAAATGGTAGAATAGTATCCCAACTTTTCTGTTCAACGTCTACGTACATAGATAACATGTCTGCCAATATCTTATTGAATCTTACAGTTAAACCATTGGTCTAAGGGTGGTAAGCAGTCATCAGAAGATGAGACGTCTTGCATAGATGAATTGCTTCTTAAACAACTATGGATAGGAAGTTTCGTCCTCGGTCACTTATCATTTCTTTGGGGGCACCATGCTTCAGTACAATTTCTTCAACTATAAACTTGGCAATTTTGGTGCCCTCAGCTGTCGGTATTGCCTTTGTGACTGGAAATCTGGTAAGGTAATCTGTACAAACTATAATCCTCCGGTTCCCATTTCGAGTAACAGGAAAATGTCGAAGTAGATCTATTCCACTTTTGGTAAACGGTGTGTCAGGAGATTTTATCAGATGAAGCTGTCCTGGTGGACGTTGCGGCGGTGATTTCCGCCTTTGGCATTCTCGGCAATGTGATACATACTGCCGTGTGCTTCCATATAGTCCTGGCCAATGGTACTTCCTCCTTATTCGATCGTACATTTTGGCAAATCCGAGATGGTCAGCGGTTGGAGCATCATGAAGACTTCTTAGAACCTCGCTATGAAGTTGCTTTTGTACCACCAAGAGCTATTGCAGTCCCATAGGATCATAGCTTCTTTGTACAGTATAACCATTCTTATTTGATAATTTTGATATGCGTCACCTCTCTTAAGAGTTGTAATGATGGATTTTAATCGTTTGTCTTACTGCTGCTCTTGACCATAATCTACGATCGCTGCAAAGAAAGGGATGTCTTCATTGTTCTCAATTATTGGCTCTATAAGAGGCTTCCTTGATAGTGAATCTGCATCAGAGTGTTTGCGACCGCTCTTGTAGACGATATTTACGCCGTATTCCTGACACCTGAGAGCCCATCATGCAAGTCTTCTGGGTGGATCCTTAACATTGGCCAGCCAACATAGAGAGTGGTGATCTGTGACTACCGTGAAGGGTTTTCCATAGAGGTAGGGCCTGAATTTACTAATTGCACAGATGACGGCAAGGCATTCTTTTTCGGTGGTGGAATAGTTCCTTTCAGCTGCAGTAAGGGACCTGAATGCATAGGCTATTGGTCTTTCTTTGCCATCCTGGATCTGAACCAGTACTGCCCCGATGCCATAGCCGCTAGTGTCAGAATGTATCCTGGTTTCTGCGTCTGGAATAAAATGTCCCAAAACAGTGCCATTGGTCAGCAGCCTTTTGAGCGTAGCGAAAGGTTCAATCTGTAACGCGTTCCAAGAAAATTTTGCATCCTTCTTCAACAAGTCATGTAGGGGCTTTGCGGTATCAGTTGGGTTTGTCGAGAACAATTAGTTACCCATAATTTACCACAACCATCCTCTATAGTGACAATTGAAGCTGGTATCACTAGTTCTTTTTTGCACATCAGAAATCTATTTCCAACAATCATAGCTCCATCTGCTTCCCGTAGTTCTGAATTCAGGGCACATATTCGCCTTGCGGTGTTTGCTTCAATTACATAATCGGTTGCGGCAAACAAGGAGGACTATGACTTATTTAAATATTCTTTGTCTGGAAGGATTTCTGAAAGTGTAAGTTCTTGATTTCCACAATCAATAATGGCATCGATGGCATGGAAAAAGTTCCATCCAAGTATCATTTGATGACTACATTCAAGAAACATGAGAAATTCAAACGGTTTCTTAGTCCCATTCAAATCAATACACGGCGTCCCGAGGCGGCTACAGTTTTACCACGGGCAGTGTTCAATACAGGTCCATTCTCAGCAAACATAGGAGCATTTAGATGTCGACGTAACTCTTCGGATATGACAGAATAATTGGCTCCTGTATCAACAAGGGCTTTCCCATATCAACACTGTCCGTTCACGGTGATAAAAGTGTTATTCTTTTTTAACTTGGCTGTGTTATGCGTCGGAGGATTTTCTTCAAGTACGTCCTCACCTCCTGTACAGGTCCCTTGAGCTAGTTTTCCTCATTGGTTCGGCATGGGGAACGGTGTACTGGTGACTGCAATTGTCGGCGATTGAGAGAGCGTCGCGGATAAGGTGAACTGCTCCTTATTCGGGAAGAACTAGGTTGTGCAAATTCATCGTCGAAGCTGTATGTAGATTCAGTATCCCTGTCCCGTCAAGGATTGGACGTCTTTGCGGTTCTTGCATTTTCAAATATCTGGCGTCTTTCCCTACATTATCTCAGAACATGGCCTGGGCGTCCGCAATGAAAACAAAGCGGCACATTATCGTCAGTCCTCCACAGATCTGTCCTACGTTGTGGAGCAGTTCGCTGGCTTGGCTTTCCGTCTTGGCTCCGACCTAACTGGAAGTGAACTTTGGGTAGTGTTTTTGCTTCTCCCTGCTCCTGTGAGTGGTGCCAGCGCCTCTATAACCTCCTCCCGGATCACAGATGCTATGTCATTCGGTGCTACGGGTTCTATTTCTGTGTAGCCCTGAACTTGCGGCAGGACCTTCTGAAGCTCTTCCCTGACGATGGCGCGCACTATAGACCTTAGTTCACCGGCTTCCGCATCGGCCGACACCGCGGAGACATTAGGCAGCCTCTGGAATTGTGATCGGGCGATACGTCTTCGTCGAAGGCTTTCTATGTGACGGCAACGTTTCACGAAGGCATCGACGCTGTCATAGTCCTGGGACGACAGGACCTGATACAAGTCTTCAGCAATACCTTTCATGAGATGGGCCACTTTCTCGTCTTCAGACATGCATGCAGAGCGAGAACATCTTGACTGTAAGCTTCAGACGTCTCATCGATTTGCTGGGCATGTGTGAGTAGTACTCGTTCAGCTTGGCGCTTTACATCAGCTGCTCGGGAAAAGGTGTTCTTAAGAGCAGTCCAGAAAACAGTGCAACTGGTAAATGTGTCTTCATTATTATTGAACCACTGTCGAGCATTTCCGCCAAGGTAAAAAATGACGTTCGCCAGACACATTTGATCATCCCAGTGGTTATAGTTGGCGATTCGATCGCCTTGAGCCATCTATTAGTAATTTCTTGGCTGTCCCCGGTGAATATACTTCTGGGTAGTTGGTACATCAGGATCAGTATTGGTGCGATATTACTCGAAGCGGAACTAGCTGCTGCTGGAGGAGTCTGCTTGGTTTCCTTCTCATCAACCATCTTTTATGCGAATCCTGTAAGAGTCCAAACTCAGGAGAAAGTCCTCAAATCCACAGGCTTCAACGTAACTCTGCCGAAGTAACTGAGAAATACTCGGTGCCTCCACCAAACTGTCGCGTAGATGAGGGGATTCTACAAATGAACAGGCAAGTACTCAAGTCTAAACTCAAGACTTTTTATTAACTTAAACTGAATGAAGAGCTACTTATATACAGTTGGTGAACATGCTGGAACATTCCAAACTTGGAATGTTCTGGAAAAATAAGAAGGAAATTTACATAAAAACCAATTATCAGGCATCTTGCCGTTGGTGGGTTTCGAACCCGGTACCTTCAGGTTTCGAGTCCTGTGTCTTCTCCGCTAAGCTATGAGGAGCTCGGTCGAAAAAAGCAATTTTCGCTACAATATTGCCAAATGGGTGATTTGGCACAAAATCTGTCAACTCTGCCTTCCCTTGCCACTTTCTGGCAACCTTAATCCCGCCTTGTGGAGTTTTCAGATGTATTTCTGTTTTGCATATCACAGTCTGAAGATTTAGTCCTTTCACATTTTTGGTCCGCATGAAGAACTGAAACAGTTTGCTGACCACTCTGTAGTTCATTCACATCATGTGTACAGTTTACCTCTGTAATTTTAGCAGTTAGTACGTGCTTATTTACCTCTATTTCCTGAAAGCCAGTTCTGATGTTTGCATCAGAATTATGATTAGAATCAAGTTTGTGTCTGTACAAATTGTATTTTGAGACACATACTTAGTTTAAGAAGTGGTTATATTTTCTTGCAATACTGGAACACACTGCCTAAGCTGCTTTCAACTCTTCTGATTAGGCTTTTACAGCTGAAGTAAGAAGTCCATGAACTTTATAGTTTCCGCCATGGCTTTTATCTGTTGGTGTGTCACTTGTATCCACTCACAAATCCCACTTCTGACAGCAGTTGTTTCTACGGGTTCATGGATTTGAAGTGATTGATGACAACACTTGATGACGAATCAAAATGCAATTTATTTAGCCAACATTTCTCAGAACAGTTCTAAAATCACTTTTACAGTCGTCAAAAAGCTATGGTAATCGCACTGAAACAATCAGCAACACAGCCTTCAGGCTATCGGGCTGTAACGGTGAAGACATCTTCACGGCAAAGCACTAGAGTACAGCTCCTGACTCAGTTTGGTTGTTCTCGGAACTCAATGTACTCCTGAGACTCTCCATGCTATAACTTGCGCTGCACTCGACGAAACACTCGATAGCCTCAACGATACACCAACTCGTGATACATTGATGAGACACTGCTACTCTGTGTGCAGTCAAGAATTATATAGGTTTTGACCTGCCTTTGAGAACATTCTGAAGCAAACTGGTAAGAATTCGTTCTAGAATGTTCTCCATCCGTC